TGAGCAAAAAAAATTATTTTGACCGCTCTATCGTGTAGAGCACGTCGAGTTATGTATAAAACTATATTTTTTTCTGCTTTAAATCCTCTACCTAAGATTCAAATTTCATCAAGAAAGATTTTTAAAAAATTTATTCACTGAAAAAACCTATATTTTCCGATAGCGCTTCGTTTGTCTAGCTGTATCCTTTTTTTAATTTTTACGACTGTATAGATTTTAAAGCAGGAAAAAATGTAGTTGTAAACATAACTCGACGTGCTCTACACGATAGAGCGGTCAAAATAATTTTTTTTTTGCTCAAAAACTTTTTTCGACCTGTAACCTGGTTTTCCAGAAAACTAGGTCTAGATGGCCTAGTGGCAAAAACCATTACGATATTCGGAATCAGCGTACTCGATTACCTAGAACCCACTAGGTTTCGCTTGAAAAGCGAGAGGACACTTGGGAATATTCCCTCGTGAGCATCAAAAGTAAATAGAGACGAACACTTTCAAACTTTTTTTTCGTATCACTAAGGCTTGTATGTACGTCTAACATGAGTGTCATATGAAGCAATACCCTCATGAAAGTTTGTTTCAGATACCTTCAGAAATTCGACACAATCGAATCAAGATCACTAACATAAGCAGACTCGATATGGTTTTGAAGGTCTACTCTTAAATTTTTTTTTTCCGTCGAACATTGATCTCATTATTTAAAAAAAGAACATTTCACAGAGTAACGTTGCAATCATGAAAATACAAAAATGTACGCTAAATTCTATTCATAACGTATATTTTTTCATTCATCGGAAACACTTTCAAGATAATCAAAAATAAAGAATAAAACAAATGAATAAAATACTTGTATAGGTTTAACATTTTGTATCATTGGCATTAATGTTTGTTTACCAATCCATTTATAAATTTCAACAATTAATAATTTTGATTCATCACGTACAGTTTTATCTCTATCATCCAATAAAGGTATAATTTGTTTAAGAAATGGTTTTATCGGAAGAATTTTTGAACCAAATTCACTTGAAAAACAAAAAAAAAAATATAATTTTTTTTTTTTTAAATTAAAATATTCAATAAAATAAAATAATTTAACATACGATAAGCCTTTTCGAAGTATTTCAAGACATGCTTGAACAATTTTAGGTTGTTTATTGTCAAGACCTTTAACAAGTTCATCTTCAATTTCAATTTGTTTTTCAATTTCAATATACATTAATAAAATTTCACATGCACGTTCTTTCATTTTTGAACGTGCATTTAAACATTTTGTTATTAAACCAGATGCAACATCATTAACAGTTCTATTTTAAAAACAATAAAATTATAGTTTTAAGAAAATCTCAATAAAAAAAAAAAAAAAAAAAAAATCGTACTTTCCAGCTATATTTGCTTCTTCAACAAAAGCAAATACAGCATCAAGTGCTTTTTCACGTGCATTTTCATTTGAATCAATAACAAATTTTTTCATAAGATTAACATATTTATTAAACTCAGGACTTTGATCTGAATTTTGTGTACGAAATAATTTAACACATTCTTCATAACCAGTCATACGAGCTTTCCATGCCTAAAATCAAGAGATCAAAGGTTAAGTTTTAAAACATTCTTTTTTTTTTTTTTCGTTGCTTTCAATACTTTATGTTGAACTTTTTGATCTGTTGACAATTTTTGCCATTCATTGTCATCACTACCACCGATAGTTGCCATCTAAAAATAAGAAATGATGAGAATAAAAAAGAACTATTCATTGGTGTACAAGGACAATATGATGACATAAACTGTATAGATTTGTTGCGAGAAAAAGAGAACGAACGATCGATGAATAAATGTGTATGGATGGTTCAATCAATAGGATTGAGTCATATGTTATCATTTATCGAATCTGATTTAAGTAAAAATATTATATTTAATTTTTACAAAAACAAATATGAAATAAATTAATTAGATAATAAATGAATATGATTGTCAATTTTTGAAGTCAATATTAGATTATACTTAGATAATAGATGTCACTATCTGATATACTAAGTATTAGATGAATACTACTTGTTCTTAGGTCAATGTAACTTTCTAGAAAATCAATTGAGATTTGATGATCTTTCAATGTGAAAAATTCGATGAATACTATTTCAAGTTTTGCTATCAGCATAGAAAATAATGAAAACTGACTTCAATATATCTTCATTTTCGTATGCTCAAAAACTAATGACAATAGTAGGAGAAACAACGATCATTTGCAAATGAAAAAAAAATGCATTGATGGGTTATACAGAAAGAATGCGAAAACTAAAACAGTGATGCGCCGTTCGCAATGGTCTGAATGATTTGTTCTGAATAGTACTAAATTATCAAAGATAAGACATCAAGAAATTCGACAATCTTTCGATCTTCCAAAAAACCGTTGTCTAAATTTTATAAGAACTTAACTAAATCGATAAAAATAAAAGATTATCATAAGTATATTTGTACATTAGAAAAAGTATATCTATATTTATTATATATTATTTGATGTCATAGAAACTAATTAAAGATTGTGACATATGCCCAGAACGAAAACTACAGAATCTATAATTATAAGCTCGTAAACAACTATGTTGTTTGTATATGACTGTATTATAACGTTGGCTTATAGCTGAGAATTACACTTAGATATTTGCATGGCCATATATGAAGCGATAAGATCATATATGAGGAAATATGAAAGAAAGTTTAGATAATATAACAACTGTAATTATTTAACCTAGGTGCTTATGAACTTTGCAATGAGGTCGTCATTCAATGCTCTTTTTTTTGGCAAGATGAAGTCTTAACAAGGTGACTTCTAAGTTTCACGCAAATTTTGCTTTGTATTTCATCAATATGTTGAGTGAAAATATAGAGGAGATTATCGAAGAGAAAGGTTTGTAAATAAATAGAAGTGCGTCTAAGACTTACAATGACAAAAATTATGATAGAAGCTTTAGAACATTGAATATGCAATAGAAAAGTATCAATTGTATTGCGTAAAAGGCTTATGAGTGTGAACTATTCTATAAGAGAAAAAAAATGAAAATATCATTTAAAGAAGATTACTGTTCCTTTATTTGCTTCTATTATTTCACGATTAGAGAAGCACTTGACAATTATATACAATGGTTTAGAGTAGATGTTTTACGTTGATTTTTTTTTTCTTCTATTTCTAATTGTAGGCGTAATATAAAGGACCATCTTTTGTTTTTTTAGAAAGACAATTTATGCTCTCTTGTACTGAAGTACTTAGTTTAGATATATCGAATATACATTACCTACAAATTACTTTGACATTTCAAAATTTATGTTCGCAATCTGAAAATGTATATATGCAATATCAACAGATAGAATTGGCCATGAAACTTTCCAATAAGAAATTGGCTTGCATAAATCCATAGTTCTGTACGATAATTATCAAGTAGTATGTAGATATTCTTTTTCGTCTAATATTTTTTTTGTCAATAATAATTATTGCGTTGATTTCTTTCCACTCGAACTTGTCTAGGATGAAAAACATCGTTTTTTTAATTTCAAAAAAAAACAAAATTATGATTAATATTAAGAAGCTATTAAAATGTACAGCAGTCAAATGGTGAATCGACATTCGAAAAAGTTTCTCATTCATAAGCAAGTGAAATTAAATTCTTTCTTAAGATTCGAAAATTGAGTAGATTTTTTCTCGTTCATTTATATTTGGATTCAAACATTGTTTGACTGAAAAAAAACAAAATTCGAACGACTGAAAATGAAGTAGTAACAATTATGAATTCAGTTTTTCTTACAGAAATTATCAAATTTGAATTGTATTGTTTTAAAAATTCTGTTCAATATGTTTCGTAGTACGTATTTATCAGTTTTCTTGTAAACCTATCTAATAGATTTTTTTGTACTAACAAATAGAAGCAAATGTTTTAAATTATTAGAATTGTAAACATTATTCACAATAAACATCAAAAACTTCATAGAGCCTTGTGTGTTTTAGTAAAAAAAAAACATGTTTTCGACGGAAAAATACATCTGTGATCCTCCTCAGATTTTGTTTCTGAAAATAATGCCTGTAGTCTCCTACGAGTAGATTTTTCACAGAAAGAAAAACAGTTTCATTAAATATATATGTGATTTGATGCAGTGTTTCATGCTAATTCTGAGTATGGTATCTATGTCGGGTTTTAATTGTATCATAGTAATAGAAGCTGTTAAATACAAGTGCAATTTTCTATCCTTTTACTTGATATTATAGCTATATGGCAAAATATTCAATTCTCTTAGCAATAAAATATAATCTAGTAAAAAAACTAAATAAATATTTATGTTGTTTAAAATCTGGTGAGTCTAATGAGATAAAAGTGTTGAAGAGATCTATGCTGAATGGGATTTTTTTAAAACCTTATTAACTCTAAATCTTTCTACTTAGTTTTATATATCAAATCAGAATAGAATATTTTTTATAGGCTGAGAAAAAAAAATGATATAATTCGTATTTAATAATATCTATAGAAAAATTAAATTCATCATAGCCTATGGTACATTTTCAATTATTCGAGTTTTTTTTTTCTTCAGACAAACACTAATCGAATCCAAATATAAATAAATGCGAACAAAAAATAATCCACTCGAATTTTACATTTTTCATAGTTAAACTTTTTATTTAAAAGCTTCAAAGCAATCTTTCAAGGGTATTAGAAATCATTAACGCAAACTCTTCAAGTAAAATGCTATAGAAACAATCATCATTTATCTATCAAGAAAAAAAAAATATAAGATTTCAATAATGTTCTCACATCAAGATATGAAAGAAAAACAATACATGCAAAAATTTTGCCCTAATCATTATTATACGGCATTTTTTCATTTACAAAAAAACACAACAATTAAAAGATAAGAATCCACAATGTTTAATCTCTTATCACAGGTGGTAATATGGTATGTATTTATTCTTTTCTTAACACATTTCTTGATTCTTTTTTTCTCTTTCTTTTATTAGTTAGTGTAATGGATACTCGATGCATTCATCATGGTGATGCTGGTATAACAGATGAGGAAGCATATTTATGGCTTGATGGTGTTGTTCCACCAATATATTTATCAAATGGTGAAAAACCATCATTAAATCCAACTCGACAAGCACTTGAACAAACATTAACTATTTTAAATAAAGCAACACAACCAACATTAACATATGCATCAGGTTTAGCAACTGCAACTGCAATTTGTTTAACATTATTAAAAAAAGATGATCATGTTGTTATTGTTGATGATGCTTATTCAGGAACAACAAATCTTTTTAAGTATATAGAATTTATTTTCAATTTATTTTTATTCAATTGTTCTTTTTTTATTTTTTGTGAAGAGCATGTTTAAATCGTTGGTCTATTCATTCATCATTTGTTAATTTATCATTATCACCTTCAATAATAACTGAACATCTTCAATCAAATACTCGTCTTGTTTGGCTTGAATCACCATCAAATCCATCACTTCGTTTAGTTGATATTCAAACAATATCATCAATTGTTCATTCTTATGATTCATCAATTATTGTTGTTGTTGATAATACATTTGCATCACCACTTAATCAATCACCTCTTTTACTTGGTGCTGATCTTTGTTTTGCTTCATTAACAAAATATCTTAATGGTCATACAGATGTTATTGGTGGTTGTTTATCAATGAATCGAAAAGATTTATATGATAAATTTTTATCAAGTCAAACATTATTTGATATGAATTTATCACCATTTGATTGTTATTTAGTTCGACGTGGTATAAATACACTTGCATTACGTATGCGTCAACATATGAAAAATGCTTATCATGTAGCTCGATTTCTTGAACGACATCCAGTTATTGAACATGTTTATTATCCAGCATTACCATCACATCCACAATATGATATATATAAAAAACAAGGTGGAGCATCTGGTATGTGTAGTTATATATTAAATGAAAATGCTGATGTTAAACGTTTTCTTATGGCATTAAAATTATGTACAGTAGCAGTTAGTTTAGGTGGATGTGAAACACTTCTTGAATCACCAAAACTAATGACACATCGATCAACATTTTATGAAATTGGACCTAATGAACAAATGTCTGATAATTTAATTCGTATGTCTGTTGGTTTAGAAAATGTACAAGATATAATTAAAGATTTAGATCAAGCATTATATCAATCAATAAATCAAATTAAAATTAATAACAATAATATTGATAATAATGATGATTTGGAATTAATTGAAGAAGCTAAACGTATATCTCGTCGTTTATATCAATCACATTTACATACAATTGCAGCTGCTTTACGTACAAAATCAGGTCATATTTATTCTGGTATTCATTTTGAATCATTACAAACATCTGCAACTATATGTAGTGAAGTTAGTGCTATATCATCAATGGTTAATGATGGTCATCGAGATCTAGAAACTATTGTAGCATTACGTGGATTTGATGATGATAAAAATCATTTTGAAATCATAAGTCCATGTAATCGATGTCAAGAATTAATTGAAGATTTTAATCTTAATGCACAAATTATATTAGGAACAATTGATAAACCTTATCGAATGAAAATTAGTGATTTAATAACAGTAAAATGATGTCTTAATATAAAAGAAGATGATTAATAATATTTTTATTTATTTTTTTCAATAGTAGTTTGACTAACATTGATTTGTCTTAAGAAATTTTGTATTTTTCTTTTTAGATTATATCGATTAATAAGAATTAATGGAAGGTGAATTGTCGGCTCCTCTTCAAAAAGCAGATAAAGATGAAGAATATCAACGAGAAATTCTAGGAACACGTATTGAAACTGATGCTATTCATGTTGGACAAGAACCTGAACGATGGCCAGGTCAAGCTGTTATTCCACCAATATCAATGGCAACAACATTTAAACAATTAGAACCAGGCAAACCTGTTCTTTATGAATATAGTCGATGTGGAAATCCTACACGACAATGTTTAGAAGAATGTTTAGCATCACTTGAAAAAGCTAAATATGCATTAACATTTTCTTCAGGTCTCGGAGCAACAACAACATTAATGTTTATGCTTAAATCAGGTGATCATATTGTATCAATTGATGATGTTTATGGTGGAACAGGAAGATTATTTAGGTTTGTCTGATTTTGTTAAACATGATCGAAGAATTTCTGTGGAATTAAAATGAGTATCGTTTTAATCAATCCTCATGAAATTCAATAAGAAAGTAGTTCATATATTATAACGATATATGACGTTTCCATGATAATGTCTGTTATGATCTGAGGAGACGAAAAGGGATATTCAAATATCTACCCTGTATATTAACGTGTAGTTATCATATACAAACTACTTATTGCATTTTTCGAGCATTTAGTAAAACAACAGTGAAGAAATCTTTCCGAAAATAGTTATAATTAAAACAATCTTTCTGTGATTAACAGTACCAATCACATTGTGTTTCATATTTGAACTCTGAAAGGATTTCACTGATAGCCTTTTTTCCTCTGCTGAAAAAGGAAAATATAGTTTGACATATTTAGACGTTGTATGGCTCAAATGGGTGTTGAAAGTTCATTTGTTGATATGTCAACAGATCCATCTTTCGTTGTTAAACATCTTAAATCAACAACACGTCTTGTTTGGATTGAAACACCAACTAATCCATTATTAAAATTAGCTGATATTAAACAAATATCTACTCTTGTTCATCAATATGATCCAAAAATAATGGTACTTGTTGATAATACATTTGCAACATCATATTTTCAACGTCCACTTGAACTTGGTGCTGATTTTGTTTTACATTCATTAACTAAATATATGAATGGTCATTCCGATGTTGTTATGGGTTGTATAATGATGAATAATGAAGAACATTATAAACAACTTAGTTTTCTTCAATATGCTATGTAAGTAAATTGTTTGTTTTTGTTTTTTTTGTTATTATTTATAAAATATTTTTTTCATTTAGTGGAGCTGTTCCATCTCCATTTGATTGTTATCTTGTTAATCGTGGTCTTAAAACATTAGCTGTACGAATGAGACAACATATGACATCAGCTTTATCTATTGCTAAATATCTGGCACAACATAAATATATTCAACATGTTATTTATCCAGGATTAGAGTCTCATCCACAATATGAATTATATAAAAAACAAATGTCTGGTTTTAGTGGAATGATATCGGTTTATCTTAAAGGTGATGAAGTTGAAAAAAGTAAACGATTTTTAAAACATCTTCAGGTTAGAAGAAATTATTATCTATTAAGATATCGTAGAGATTTAAATATTTTCTTTTTTGTAGTTATTTACAACAGCTGAATCACTTGGAGGTTATGAATCATTGGTTGAACTTCCTGCTATAATGACACATGCAAGTGTACCAGAAGAACATCGTCGTGAATTAGGTATTACTGATGGTCTTATTCGAATATCAGTTGGTCTTGAAGATGTACGAGATTTAATTGATGATATTGAAAGTGCACTTCAATATGCATTTTCTGATGCAAAAGACAACTAAAAATTGAACTTTATTTTATAAAGTTTTCTCGTTTTGTTAGAAAATGTTTTCGTTTTTGTCACTGTTGTAGTTGGTTATGTAGTATTGATACAAACAGTTTTGATTTCAGTAAATACATCTTCAGAATAAGGATAACCTTCACGACCAATACCACTATCTTTAATACCACCAAATGGCATACGAAGATCACGTAACATCCAACAATTAATCCAAACTGTACCACACTAAGAAAAATACAAAATATTTATTTCATTTAAAATTTCAAAATAATTTGTTTTTGTTTTTTTTTTGCTAATCTTACTTCCATTTGAGTAGCAAGACGATGAGCTCGACCGATATTTTCTGTCCATATACAACCACAAAGACCATATTGAATATTATTTACTCGTTGTATAACCTATGTATATAAAATTTTTGTAAAGAAATTTTCTTTTCGAATCTTTACTTCTTCTTCTGTATCAAATGGTACAATACAAACGACAGGTCCAAAAATTTCTTCCATCATCAATTTTGAATTATCATCAACATTTAAAATAACTGTTGGCATCATAAAATAACCTTTATTTGTTTTTTTTATATTTTCATCCATTTCACCAGTCGATATAACTTCATGTCCATTTTGTCGTGCTAATTCAATATATTTTTCTATTTTATTTTTATGCTCTTTACTAACAACAGGACCCATTTTAGTATTGTCATCAAATGGATCACCAACTTTCAATTTTCTAAAAAACTAAATTAAAGATAAAAAATTTTGTTGTTTAAACATACTTGATTTCAGCAGTAAATTTTGTAATCAATTCATCATATATTCCTCGTTGAACATATAAACGACTTGTACATAAACAAATTTGACCAGAATTTTGAAAACATGATCTTAATATAATTTTTTATTATTTAGAAGATAATATTTAATATAAATACCTAAGTAAAACAGGAAGACATTTTGAAAGATCGACGTCATTAAAAATAATTCCTGCATTTTTTCCTCCCATCTATCATTCAAGGAAACATGTGTGTTTTTTTTTTCGTTAAATAAACAAAAGAATTTTATTTTTCATACCTCAAGTGATAGTTTAACAGGTAAATGTGATGTTGCTTTTTTAATATGATAACCTATAGCTGTACTACCAGTAAATGAAATAACATTAACATCAGGATGAGTAATAAGAGCTTGACCAGCTCGTGGACCAACACCAAAAACAATATTAACAACACCAGGTGGAAGTTCTATATAGAAAAATTTGAAAGAGTAAGACAAATATCAACGATCACTCTAATTAATTCTATGGATTTCTTTTTTTTTCCAATATAGTAAACATTAATATTTAGTTTAGATTTTTCTTTTACGTTATCAAGCATTCATAAATATAAATTTAATCTTAGTTTGCTAGAAGAATTAGAAAAAAAAAAAATTATTATTCGCTTAACAGTTATATTATCCACTATAATTATTTTTCGGCGTTCTAGAATAATTATTTGAATTGTTCACATGAGATATCGACAAACAAAATGAAATACAAAGCTTAATCAATTTTCATTTTTATCATCATTTACAGAACAACACATCAAGTTAGAAAAAAAACTATCGAGTAATTACTTTTAAATTTCATTACTGATATAATTCATCAATAGGTGCAATATCATCCATAAAATATTTTAATTAGCACTGAATGAAAATTCTGTATATTAAACATCATTACAGCAAAAATAAGTTTTCATCAAATCTGAAAAATAGCCAAGTCGTTGTTGAAAACAACGACACACACACATTCAACTTTCATCTATGATCATAAGACAACGACCCTTGAACAAAACTATTCATTGCATCATAACATCAATGATTGTCATGATAATGAAAACTTAAAAAACTCTTCATTTCATCAATACCTATTAACAACGAAGCATGTTGAAAATATTCAAATAGTAAACTCTATCCTAATCATGAAGATAAGAACTAAATCTTATTGTCGTATTTTCTAGACAAAATTCAAAGTATATGCACGACATAATTCGTCATCAAATGTAAAAATAATAAACATCAATCAATAAATACAATTCAAAAATGAAACATTTCCAATGATTTCATCTATATATAATTTAATATCAATAATTACAAAAACACAAACTTATGTTAGATAAATGTAGCTCTATTTGAAATATTCGATGATAAACATTATACAGCAAGTGAAATTGAAAAATTATATATAAATATCGGTTAAACGCATCTTATCAAGTAAGACAGTTAACATAGATACATACCTGCATCAATAAAAACTTGAGCAAGCATACCGGCTGTCACAGACGTAAACTCACTAGGCTTACATACACAAGTACAACCAAATGCAATACATGGTGCAATTTTCCATGTTAATAAATATAAAGGTAAATTCCATGGACTAATTAATACAGCAACTCCTACTGGATTTCGTACTGTATAACTAATCACATTAGGTATGGTTGCATGTTGAGTAAAACTAAATTAAAATATTTTTTTCATTGACAAAGTCATAAGAAATAAATTCATAATTTTACTTTTCGCGACTTTGCATTAGAGCTGTTGCAAAAAAACGAAAATTATCAATTGCTCGTGGTATTTCTATCGTACGTGCTAACCATAACGGTTTACCCTGATCTAATGATTCAGCACGAGCAAAATCTTCTAAACGTGCTTGTATCAAATCAGCAATACGATTAAGATAATATACTCGCTTAGAAATTGGTTGACTACTCCATCTAAACAAAATAATAAAGAATAAATAAAACAAAAACCTTTAAAAAAAAAACTTTATTATTTATACATACGAAGGAAATGCTTGTCGAGCAGCTTGTACAGCTCGTTTAGCATCTTCTGTTGAACTATCTGCAATATGTGCAATAACTTCTTCAGTTGTTGGATTAAAACTATCTAAGTAATTTTCTGTTGATACAAATTGTCCATCGATAAAATTATTTATACGTTGAATAGAAGTCATATTGATTTGCACTTGTTGTATGTATTATATAAATAAAAAAGAAATGAAGCGTAAAAAATGATCGAAAAAAAAAATCATTGATATATTCGTTCTTTTGCTTTGGTATAAACTTCATTAAAGTATGTTTTATAAATAATGTACCTCTATCCTATACATTATCTAACCTACTGTATTCAGTAGCATATAAAGGAAGATGTCGTCGTAAACGAAAAGTATTTCAATATGTAAGAAAAATATTAAAAAAAAGTTCGTTTTGATGATATTCTACATAGGACAAGCTATAAATACAAATACTGTAAAACTAATTGAACTATCTTCAGGTTGATTCAATAAAACGAACTGTTTGTTTTTATTGTTACTGATAGAGATCTACTCAAAGTTAAATATTCATACAGATAATATAAGTAAATACTATTTTGATGTATCATTATTGACATAAGAAAAATATACGTTAAACATTGCATAGATGCTTTTCGATTATTCTATACAGAATGTCACAATGATAAGAGAAAATTAACAATAAATTTTATTATAATGATATTACATCGATGCATATAGAACAAAATTTTAGAACCAAACAATTTAAGAGTCAACCGTTTGAATACATTATTTATTTATGTTATTGATATGAAAATAAACTTTGAATAGATCTTTATCATTACTAACAAAAATAATATCAAGTTGTTGAATAATGAAAGGCTAAGATATTGTTCATAACTCTAAATATATCTAAGAATTCAAATAATATACTTAGAGTCAAACTGGGACTTTTATTAGTGTTAGGGAAAAAAAAACTTCTCTAGTGCTTAATATACATCGATCTTATTTACAAATTCCATTGAAGTAAATGATAATACATTAGAAGAATGGTTAATTATTTTAAATACATGTCAAATATTATCAACTGAAGCTTTCCTTTTTAATAAAATAATTTTTCAGAACGATGAAAACGATTTATGCAGTGTTTGTTTTTGTAGTTACTATCACTCAACTATATAAAAAAAAAAATATTTATTAAATATTCCTAATATTGACATCAACAACTTAAAAGAACGTAAATGCATATTTTGCATGGAAAACAGTATGTATACATTATTGAATAAAATGTATTTTTTCAAAAACATTTGACTTTTATAAGACTTAATTAATCAGATTTGATTTTTGGTATTGACGTTGACATGTTACAAAAATAGAATCAATAGTGAAAAATCAGCCAACTCTTTTATTAACTTGAGTCAAACCAATTGACATAATTACATTGCTATAATAATTCTGAAATGACAATTTAATACGTCATTGATTACAGAGGCTACTTCAAAAGAAAGATTGATATTGTCTTTTCAATCATACACCAAAGTTTATAAAATTTATGTACATAGATGCATCTTTATGACATGGCAAGCATAAGAAAACGTCACAGAGTAAACTATATCCGTGTTTACACATATGAAACTTTGCACATGACATGCTGAATTTACCAAAACACTATTCATATTAGAGGTATACATCAATAATACTTTGGCATTTAGATGTGAATCATATATCTTGTGTGAATACGTAAGAGAGTGGCATGTAGACATTTGTCAGGATAAAATTCCTATACAATCTCGCATGTTTTGCTTAAAAACTTACAAAAAAACATTACATTGCATTTTTCAACTTTGCCGTTTGACAAGGTGCACTATCAATTTTCATTAGCAAAGTACTGTCATAAAGCAAATGACAATAAATTATATTCTATCTCACAAATATTTAAAAAGAAAAAGTAATATGTTGATATAATGATCTCTTATGTTAATTAAAATAAGTATTCTGTCAAATAACTTTATCAAGTACACTAATTTGTAAATGGTATCATGTTTATTATTATTATTATTCAAAAAGTTAGACATAGATATAGATATTGATTATGTCTATTATCAAAACTAAATAATTTTGTTTAAAAATTATCATCAATAATAGTATGTGTACCAACAAGTGATTCAATAATTTTTCTGTAAAGACGATTGACATCTTGTTCATATTTTTGTTGTTGTATTAAAACTTGTACATCAAGTTTTCGAGCATTTTTAAGACCAATGAAAAATTGATTACAATTCGATAAAAGAAGAGCTTCATTGTCATCATTTTTGAAATAAGCTATTGCATTAGGATGTTTTTCAAGAACTTGAGCATAAGAATCATTGGATTCAAGAGTAGTTATAAGTTGTCGAGTATTAGTCAAATATGTTTGAGCCAATGTTGTATTTTGACATAATTTTGATGACCATATACCGTAATTGTCGAAAAGATTATGAAAATCAATTTTTCTTTCGAAATTAGGTGTCAGCGGCGATGAAATGACCACACATACCTTTAACACAAATAGGAGCTTTGTTTTATATCATAAAAAGAAACAAAAACAACAACTTACCAGAGTCATCAAGATGATAATCTTCGTCATGCTTGTCTATTGTAAATGTACTTGCCGACAACAGTCTTTTCTGCTCTATTAATATACCGTATCGTGCTTCACAAACGTTAGAATCGAGAAAAAAAACATGTACTTTTTTTTTCAACCAATTATAAAACAACTTTTAAAAAAAATGCTAATAACTCTCATTTTTTTTTCTTTTGGAATTAATATTCATTTTCTGCTGTCTATTTTTCTTTTTTTGTACTAAGTTTTGTTTGAAGATAAGAAAAAGTATTGTGCTAATTTTATAGACTTCGATGTATGAAAAACAAGTACTGATCTTTTGTTTTATACCATGACTTCGATCGTTAACTGTATCTCATGTTATTTTGTGTACTTGTAACATGAATTTCTTGTTTTTCTGATACTTTTGATTTGTTAAACAATAACATCTATAAAAAAAAAAGATTTTATACTCTTTTTTTTTGCTATAGATATACGAGACGTGGTTGAGTTTTTCAGCATGAATTGCTACTACTCATGACTGAAAATTTTACAATAAACTGAGTAATAAACTATGTCTCAATGATATCAATATGGCCATTGCATCGAGAAATTATTAAAGGATTTAGATGTTCTGTATATTTTGCAGAGACCGAAAGAACAATAAACAAGACTTTTAATTTTAATTAATAAAAAGGTTATAACAAACGTCTTCATCTTACTGCAACAGGAAATATGATAGCATTATACGGAATGGCTTTCGTGATATGAGTGACTTGACTCGATTTGCAAATCATTGTATTTTAGACAAACTATATGAGACTTCTGAATGCAGGATAGTTCTGGTTGACTATGTCACTTGGTAGTTTCAACATAATTTCCTTTCAATTAGAATAATTACCCAAGATTTTCATAATGACTTGACAATCTCTGCTTTTTCTCTTGAATGATTTCAAACGGAATATAAATTTTGAGCAGCAATATAATGTTGATTAAAACAAAGTCTAAATCAATTGAATATAGTTCTTTCAAGTTACTCAATAGATAGTATTTTTCTAGTATTTCAGAATCATTCTTGTAGAACTAAAAATAATGATATATGCAACAACTTTGTGAATTTGTAGTCTTACAAGTTTTTTAAAACTTTTGTCGAAAATCGAGGCATCTATTGGTTTTCTTTGCTTTAATTCAAAATCAATTTTCAGAAAACCTATATTCTACAGTCTTTTTTTTCCAAGTTTAAGTTTTCTGACTTTGTTTTTAATCAACCTAATGTAAATTATTCAAGCTAGAAAGAGCATGATAATACTTACTTGGAAAGCAAGCAATTTCTTTTAGTATTTAAAAAACAATAAAAATTTAATATCTTCAACTACATTCTAAGTATTATTTTACAGAAAATTATTTTAAAAGTACCTACTTTGCTCTATTTGTGAATGAAAAAAATAACGTTCAGGAACTATCTGTTTGAATACAACAAGTCTAAGCATTTTATGGATACTTATGCATCATAAGTTAGTTAATACTAGGAACACAAACGATAAAAATACTATTATTAAAAACTTCTGTATGAAACCTAAACGTTGTAAAATTGAATTGTTTGAATATATATAAAATTCGATTTTTCAATCATTTAATACTTATCGATTTACTAATATTGTTCAATTATCAAAAATGCTTAACATTATCAATGAACTGATCGTGAACGTTTTGCATCTTGTTCGAAGAAATATGCAATTTTCAAATATTTGCAATGAATTTCTCAGTTGTTTATCGTCACATGATCAAGAAAAGTTGCTGTTCGAGAGACATTTGTTGACGACAAAATAAGATTCATTTATGAATATTTGTGTAGAATTAGATTTAAATGATCTACTGAAAGAGAAAATCTTATGCATCGAAATTTAATTGTCCACAAATAGATTTCAGAAACGAGAAGAATCGTTCAAGAAAAAAGGAGTTACAAATCCAACAGAAATCATACAACCGTAAAAAAAAACCATATCATTTGTTTCAATAAACAAACAGATTATTCGCTATATAACCTTTTTTCTCGATTAATTGCTTCATGTCAGACACAAGTCTCTTTTATCCAATCTATGCTTTACTTTATGAAAACAATACGCTCATATAGTAGGACAATTGTAAATGTGTACATATGCACGAAAAACTGATGAATGCCCTAAGTATGTCAATCTGTATTACTAAAGTTTCACAGCAAATGAATAATTATCAAGGCACATTTCACATGAAACAAACAATAATATCAACAATATTCTTCAATGTGCTAGACGAGTACTTTATTAAAAAGAATATAATATCTAATCAATGTTTCTTTCATTCCATTAAGAAAATTATTTTTTTTATATGATTAAAAATGATGCTATTCAAAACAAGTCTAGTAACTAATGCTTTGTGTGTTGCCATATACTTGTCAACTAGACGGATGCTTGTATCCGGACTCGACAGGATTCACTTTTCCTTTTAATTTTGATTTGTATTTGATGTCAACAAGAACATTGCTCTTTATCTGCATTAAATATCGTCGACTAATTTGTTTTCACATTCTCATACAGACATGATCATGTTCATCTTTGATCAGAATTTGAATAACCAATTGAGTCAAAATACAATAGCAGATTTGCTAAGACCATAACTGAAAATATGTTGTTTTTTTTTCTAAAATGATTTTAAGTATTATTAAAATAGAAGAGAAAAAATGCTTGTCTGTGTGTGTTGTATTCATGAATTTCATTTATTTGTTTGTCAACTATTTTTGAACATTATAATTATCACAATAGTGAATAGAAATCTTATCTTGTCTGGCAAAAGGAAAAAGAATGTGTGTGTATATTCTTCTTTTACAAATGGATGTTGAATATAGCACGAAGGTACGAGAAGATCAGTTTTGGAATCAAATCACTTTTTTTTTGATTTTTAATTAACTCATTTATTTTCATTTGATGAATCGATAACAAATTTTAAAAAATGTTCTTTCTTTTTTGAATTAATCTTTTTTTTTTTTTCTTTTGGTCAAAAAGGTTTACAAAGATGGTATTGCTTATTTTTGCTGTGCTGTATGTAAAATCGTTATAAAAGATAAATTTTATTTACGTGTTGGTTCAAAAATTTATCATGAATCATGTTTACAATGTGATATCTGTCAAATGCCACTTAATGAACGATCAACATGTTTTTTAAAAGGTGTACATATTTTATGTTCAAAGGATTATTATAAGTAAAAATTGAATAAACTTATTTGTTTTATATGAAAAAATAATTCTTTTCTTATTTATTATGAAAGATATTTTGTTAATAAATGTTCGAAATGTGATCGTTTTATTTATCCGAATGATTGGATTCGACGTGCATGTGAATATGTTTATCATTTAACTTGTTTTTCATGTTATACATGTGGACGACAATTATCAACAGATGATGAATATTCTTTAGAAAATGGTCATATTTTATGTAAAATTCATGTAACCGAAGCAAATGATAACAAATATGATAGTAAAATTTACTCTTTTTTTAAAATAAATTATTTAAATTTTCAAACATTTTATAATTTAGTTAATAAACAAAATGAAACAAAACGAATTCGAACAGCATTTACGATAGAACAATTACAAATCTTACAAACTAATTTTAAATTTGATCCAAATCCAGATGGACAAGATTTGGAATGTATTGCACATACTGCAGGTATGAATCTATATATAGAAAACAATGGCACAAGAGAAAATTATTCAGATTTGAAACCTGCAGCACCTTTTGGTACTGAAATTTAGTAATGGTGCTCATAGAGATAGAAAACAAATCAGAAATTAAGGTGATAACTACAGGTGAACGTCATATGATTCTTAATCGATTTTTTTTTCTATGAAGACAAAGCTATTCTTGGAGGATAATGACTTCTTATAAAACCTGACTAAAAGTTTGCAGAGTTGCGGAATCCCAATCTACAGGTGTCTAGTCGAAATTCTTGCATTCAACTTTCTCAGGAAAAGAAATATATTTGTCTTGATTTAGTCAAGTTGAATAACATTTATCTATTTTCTTGGAATAAGGTTCTGCTGATCAACAAAAAAAAGTTGAACTCCAGCGCTCTGAAAAACCACCTATAAAGCGAAAATAACGAGAACATAGAATAGAAAATGTTATAAAAATCGTGTTGTGTAAATTCATAAATGTCTACCATATCATAGTGACATTTTCTTAATCGTAAGAATCAAAATGGGAAATGAAGAATTCTTCAAAGGAATTGCAAAATCAAAGATAACTGCTCCCTATGACATTTCATTTTTGATTTTTATTAATTAGTGTTGCATTACGTTTGCGAATCCTTTTAAATGTTTCTATTAATCACAAGTTTCATCTAATTATCTCTTGATATTAATTAATTCTGAAAGAAAGATTCATTTAGACTTTATAAAAATTTCATAAACTAAATCAAAAACAAATTTGCATTCTATTAGTATAAGTTTAGTTAACTTGAATATTCATTTGTTTATTCTTTATTTCTATGATTGTATAATATGTCTTATTCTATTTCACAATGTATTGTAGGATTAAGTAAACGAGTGACTCAAATATGGTTTCAAAATACTCGGGCACGGCAAAAGAAAGTACAAAATCAAAAACACCAGCAAAAAGAAAATTATAAACAAGATAAACATAAGAAAAACAACAATTCAAGTTCCAATAGAAATGATGATAGTGTGTTTTTTTAAATTTGTTTAGAAACTTTTTATTACATTTACATATAAATGTGTTTATTTAGTCTATAACTTTGTCAAAACAAACAACACGCAATCAATTTCAAAATGTTCGAACTTATATGAATATGGAACAATGTCTATATAAAATGAACCATTAAAAATACTTTTTACAGATTAATTATTTCATATAAAGAATTACTTATAATCCTAGTGTCTCTTCGTTTTTTTTTTGATTCTATGGAACAACAATCAAAATATTTACCATAGTTTCTATCAAAATTATTATCTACATCATCGTTGATT